CCTTTTGAAATCTTGTATGCAGACATCAAATATAAAATATATATGGGCATATGGATAGTACCTTTGCTGTCCGACATACTGCACCTTCAGTGGACGAGCATCACTGATCCTCAACCATATGTTAAATCTCTCATGTGATAGCCCCATTGCCATGCCCTAGTAAACGACTTCAGCTGGTGGACTAAACTCATATGGGGGGGTGTCATCAGTCATGGCAAAAGGATTCCTCAGATGAACTTTTGTGACTAAGATAGAGGACATTGGCTGTGGTCTAGCCTGGAGAGAGATGGGCTCTGCTATGTTAAAATGCCTAAGACATGCCACATGGTGAGCATACCAAGAAACCATTCGTGCACATGACTGCAACAGATGGAGGAGAATGGTGGACATCTCAGCATGTCAGCATTCCAGTGACTCCTTCTGGGGTTAAGGGTGAAAGAAGAAGAAGAAGAATGAAGAAAAACTAGTGAAAGAAAGAGGTACATTTAAGTAAGAAAACAGATTTCGTGACAATTAAAAGGAAGAAAGCAACTGAAAGGGAATACACATCAAAATTACAAATACTTTAAAACAGCTTCTTAGAAAGAAAAAAATACAAATTCAGCTCTAAAGAGTGACTTGGTGTAGTAAGTGCATGTCAAAATCACATCCAAGTTGCTATAATACTGTAGGCACTACTTCTAGTCAGACTAAAATCAGTGGCAACAATATTTTGCACATGTAAATGATGGGTGTAAGGAAATGGAAGACAATTTCAATAAGGCAATATTTTATAGTTTTGTTTTTAGGTATAACCAAGTAAAAAAAAAAAGAAAATACATGAGTAAGCATGCTAAAGAAGGAAAACATTACAAGTTAGGAATTGTGTGGGTGATATGTATGTGTGTCTCTGAAAAAATCCAGTTACTAAGGGGGAAGATGTGAAAGACTCGACTGGTGTTGTAACTCCAGCATGTTTAGAGGAGGAGAAAGAGAAGAGAGTGAAAGACGGGAAGTGTCCTGTTTTTTTATATAGCTGCCTGACAGTGCCCTCTAACATCTTCTGTTCAAACCTGGTGACGCTATATAGGGATAACCCACAGACTTAATAAATACCAAGGCATAGAATTTGTTATAAAATCCAACAATAAAAGGTAGAAAAAGAAACTTACTATTGACCACAGAGTTTTGCCTTGTAAAAAGACCCAGAAAGAAATTGGTTTTTATACCCAAATCTGCTAAGCAGAATTTTAAGAGTTAAAATGTCAGAAAGAAGATGCAAAAAATATTTCTTTTGAACACTTATATGCAAAGTAATTATATCTCACCATATTTAAGTAAGAATTAGCAAAGATATTTCTATAAAACATTGATGCTGCTAATATTTCATAGAGAGAACACTTCAAACAAAAAACTTTGATCATAACATTTTTGGCAAAGTTTAACATACATTTCTGCAAAAATATGATGTGTTAAAAGGACAAATTTTACTCTTGACACTGCCATTACTGTAAACTCTTTTCACTTCCTTGTCAATTTTTATTGTTTTAAAAATATATTTTTAGAATTTTAACAAAATCTAAACATGAAAATGGATTTTACATTTTTTTCTCAAGAATTGACAACAAAAATGTTGCATGCATTATTAAATGTTAAACTTTACCAAATTTTTATTCAGTTTGATAGAAAGAATATTTTTCTCAAAAATCAGCACCAATTTGGACGTTGTTGAATAGTAACATTAAAAAGGCTCCTTCAATTAACCATTTCAAAAATCATCTGGATGATAACTATAGGATCCTGCATCATTCGTAAAAAACCCAAATCACAGGCTCCAAATTTAATAATATAACAACGTATTCTGATTGTCTGAAAAATATCAATTATGTATCGTCAACTATGTCTGATTTTGACCCAAGCAAAAATACATTTGTGCCAAAAATTCTGGAGCCTACCATGTGATGCATATTGTGTATATTAATGACACAAAATTCAGAAACAGTGAGGTGGGAAAATCCAACCTGAAGCTTTACTGCATGTTTCACTGTTGTTCATTTCAGACTATATGTTAAAATTCTTTTAACACTAAAACAGTCTGCATTGCTCTTTCAACTAAGTCAACAAATATCAAAGAAAGACAACCCAATTAAAACACAAACTAAATCCACTTCATTCACACACAATTTTTGTAAACCTCAAGCTGTTTAATTTCAACATTATACTATCTCATGATCACACACGTCATTCCACAATTCAAGATCTATCTAATCAGAATATTACTAAAACTCAAATCCAAACATACAAAGACATTTGAATGTTTTAAACACCTTTTTCAATAAATGTTTGTACCTTTTGTCATATAAAAATTTCTATTTATTGTTATGCAAACACTCTTGTCTTGAATATTATTGTTTTCTTGTTGTTCATTATTTTGTTACATTTGTGATAATATAAATGCATAGAGGATTATTGACATCTATGGATAAGCATGCAAGACCTTCCACCAACATAACTGTAAAGTGTTGCCTATACACACACACATAGCCCCACACAACAATTGACCAATGACAGAAGACATTATAAACAATTAACAACCAATCAAAGAACTTGAACAAAAATAGACATAACATTTGCAACTGATTTCTAAAAGAAAAAGAAAGTTGGCTTTACTTGAGCTGCTCTGATCTCAGTAGACATATTAGAGACCACATCATGTATACATTTAGACAGTATGATTAACCAAGCAAGTGGTTCTATTAATTTTTTTAAAATACTTCAGTCATTCCAAAAACAAATAAAAAGCAAGTTACCAATTTTAAAAGTACTTATATTCACTTACCTCAAAAGACCTACTTGGTACTGCAACAACATCAAAGAGACCTTCTACTCATAACCACCACAGATACAAACTTGAAAAAACTCCAGTTGCTTTTTGACTATTTTACTTTTCTTTTCTCTAAACTTATGTACATGAACAGATCTCTTCTCTCTTATCAGCATATACTTTCTCTTTCACACATACACACATACTTACAGAAACCTTTTAATTGGCATAAGCTAAAGTTTAAACTGTAAACTCAAAATAACATTTCTCCCAAATCTTTTTATACAGTTTTATAAATATCTATTTGTGTATAATTTACTGTTTGATTGTTGATAAATAAGTTTCATTGTTATTTACCATATCTACAGTTTTGTTATCTTATTCATTCTTTGTATTGTTTGAAACTAAAAACTTGGTACAAAATTCTGTTAGGAGACTCATGGTTAATAGAATATTTGTCATCACCCTAAATATTAATCTTGGGTCATTATATGAAGAGTAAGCGTTCTCAAAGCAAATTTGTTACTTTCACAACACAAAGAAAAAGTCATTGTATATGAATAGTTAATAAAAAGTAACAAAATGACCTTTAATTATCTCTCATGACAAAAGAACCATTTTGAATACCAAGCTGTTGAATATTGCTGATGTTTAGTTTTACTTTTTCTTTAAATTTATGACATAATATAATTTGTATCCATATATATATATATCCATATATATATATATATATATATATATATATATATATATATATATATATATATATAATTTGTATCCATAATGTCACAAGGAATAACTGATTTAGTTTTCATTAAATAATGTAAAAGTTATATGCAAAAAGTGCTATTGTATATCCAGGCTTGTTTATGCTATAAAATTAAGTGGAAATTTCTGAATAAATTTCTCTGGGCAATAATGGTAATATTGTTCTACTGAAAATAGGGAATTCATTATTTGAATTTCTTTGTAAAATTAAAAAGCTTTTATTAAATATTTCCACAAGTATTACATAAAAATTATAATGTGTTTTTCTTAAATTCTAAAGCATTTTAATTAAATATTTGTAACTTATATATTTTTGAATGGAGAAATTCAATTACTATATTGTTTTTATTATTCCTTTGTGAAAATAATTTGCATAAATTGTTTGATAATTTTAATTAATTCATAACTCTTCAATTCATTAATTCATGAAAAGATTCAAAATTTATTTAATAAATAAGTTTATTTTCTTTTATAAGATTTGAAATTTCTTTTATTGAAAAGTAATAAACTATTCAAAGTTAGCATTTTTAATAAATATTTAAAACTCATCATTTTAAAAAATAAAAAATTCAATTGAATGCTTTTTTAATATTTTAATCATTTCACCCTAAGCAGAGCTGGAATGCCGCTAGTGCGTAGGGGATTACAGAGATTGAAGGTGAAAGAGAAGAAGACTGAGAATAGGAAAGGATAAAAGAAAAGATGAATGATGGGGTTCAAGAAGATGGCAATTCACGTTGCCTTTTTAAACCTTTGTAGTTATCAGGGAAGCAAGGAAATGGGAAGGAGTTCCACAGGCGGGAAGTGCGAAAAAATAAACTGTTGAAGTAGAAGTGGTGGTTACAGTTCAATCCAACAGTAAAAGGGTGGGACCTAGTTGTCAATTTAGTAGCACGCTTAAATTTACGTAGTCCGGGCACCAGAGAATATTTTTTGTTTTATTTTCCTGCGTTATTTAACTTTTTCTCAGAAATACATTGAATTGTTTAAATCATAGTAAGAATCTTTTTAAATGTTCATGTTAAAAAAAGAGCGAAAAAAAAACAGTTTTAAAGAAATAAACTGAAAAGATTTTTAACAATAAATAAAATTTACTTTTTTATGATCGAAGCAAATTTTTATTCTTTAAGTAAAAAAAAATAAAATAAAATTTTGTTTCCGGTTGCGCAGTGTAAAGATTTACCGGAAGCGGAAGTAGTTTCGTTTGTTCTCTCGGCAACAAGACAAGAAAAGAGAGAAGCTGAATTGTGGGGTCTGCCCTTAACACCGGGGGGAACAACAACAACAACAAAAAACAACAATACGCATAAAAGGCATATAAATGGTTTTAGTGTGTAGATACCATAATTCGGACAAGGGATATTTTCCTACTACCAAACACATTGTTTTTCTGCAAATGGAAAGCCGGCTTGCTTAACTTTCTGCATGGATGGGCCACCACAACAAGAGAATAGGTCAGCTAACATTGCAAGTACAACACAGTCGTCATCTACTACTGCCACCTTCTTGTCACCACCGACAACTAAAAGGAATTAAAAAGACAAGCAACAACACATTTGGAGGTGGTAAGTTACTTATATTATAATTATTATTATCCATTGATCTTAAATGTCTTTCTTTTCATAAGAAGAGTAGACACAAATATGTCGTATGGTGGCTTTGTAAAAAGTGGATCTGCTTGCTTTTTCTTTCTTTGTCAACTTTAATGATCGCACACACGCACGAAATACCTCATTAGGAAAAATACTTGTCTTTACCAGACGAAGACAAAAAATAACTTGTAGGAAAGCCAAAATTGTAAAATCCTAGTTTACTCACGCAGCAAATGACTAACTTTTTAAATTAATTACTGAATTAAAAATGATGTCTTATTCTAGGGTTGTTGAATCTGCTTATATTTGGTGCAAAATAAATAAAAATTTAAAAAAAAATCAATTGAAAAGTAATTTTTTTTTTCGTTAACTCTCTCTTCTTAGACCTCAAATTACTATTTAAAAGTAAATAAAACTTAGTTTTACAGAAATTTTTAGTTTAAATTTCTCTTAGTCTTAAAATTAAAAAATTATAATAATTTTGCAATATCATGAAGTTAGATCGCTAACAAGTTCGTTATGTTTGCGGCGTGAGTAAAGTAGGATTTATGATTTATTTATTTAACAAACTTTTTTTCTTAAATAATTTTTGTCGCATTTTATTTTTAAGTCAACTTTTGTTGTTAAATGATTCACTGAATCCCTCACAAAAAAGTAGTGTACCCATTATTATTCTAAGTTCAGAATTTTAATGTCAAAATTTATTTGTTATTATTTATTTTTTTTATTCATTTCGGAATAGGGAGGAATCAGATCAGCTGATTTTTCAGTTTTTTTTTGTTTTTTCCATTTTGCTTTTATTAGTTACAGTCAATTTGGAATACAAAAAATATTTTGAAAAATAAAATTAATTCTAAATAAATTAAAAAATCAACTTCATTGAAAACTTCTTACGATCATGCATAAAAAAAAATCCCCAAACCTTTTCTTTTTAACTGAAATTGGAAAATATTGTTGCACTTCTTAACTATTTTTCTTTTTACCTGGTTAATTAATTTACCTGCCTCTATTCAATTGCTACTGCAGTTTAATATCATGTTAAAAGAGAATCTGTGTAACTGTTTTTTCTTTGTTTTTTTTTTATTTGTCTTTCGTTTAAAAATCATTGATATTTCTCGTAATGAAAATATTTGTTTCAAAGTTTTTTTATTACTAAAAAAAAATAAATACAACTTTGTTGGAAACTATGCTTGACTGGGTTGATTTTTTTTTTTCTGTAGACGTGGGAGGAGGAATTAACTAAATTGACACAAGTTTTTTTTTTCTGCTACCTACAATTCAATAAAAATCATTTTTCACACTCCCCAAGAAGTCCAAGTCGTTTTCATTTCTTTTTATTCAGATTTTTTTCTTTTTAGATTTGGTGTTTTATATCATACGTGTAAAATCCCAACCAAATATTTTCCTCGAGCTTGTTCGATTGTTTGACTTCTTATGAATAATTCCATGATGCAATGAAATGACTTTTTTTTTTTTTTGTTTTTTTGCCTTTCTTTCCTGGACATTTTATTTTCGTTTCATGAGAAAATCCAAATCTTAAATACACCTGCAAAAAAAAATATACGATTTGTAGATTTTCCACTTTTGTGATTCATGGCTTTTTTCTACAATAGAATTTTTACTCAAAAAAAATTTTCCTATGACTCTAAAACTGTAGACCTCAAAAATCAAAATGCTACGTAGATTATTAACAGCAAATGTAGTCCTTCGAAATAATTGTCCTGTTGTAACTAATAAAACATTTTTATTAAAAATAAATTTATTTACTTTTTTTTTTTTTTTGTGTCTGTAACCGGTTTTTAAACTGTTCTCTAACACTCCCCCCCTCCCCAACACTTAAAGGCTCGCCGTAATGTGTAGGGGGGGGGGTCCATATAATGAGGGGACGTTTTCATCCCCGACCCTAGAAGTTGACAGATTTTTAGTGAGTTGAATTTCCCTAGCGAAAATGTTGGACAATCATAATTATATTGTTGCTATAAAAACATTAGCCTACAATTTTTTTTAAAAAGAAAAAAAAAAAATAACGATAATCTCTTTGCTGCCGATTAAATAATGTCAGTCTTTATTGCAATTAAAACGATGACTAAATAAATTATTCTAATTATTAAATGTCATTCTAGTTCTAAAAACTGACTTTCCTTTTCAACGTGGAGCCAGAAGTTTGTTTTATTTAAAATGGAAAAATAAAAACGATTAAAACAAAACTTTTGGGGGAAAAGGAAGAATGCCATTTTTAAAATTACTTATTTCGATTAAGAAATAATGAAACCAAATTCTTTTTTTTTTCTTCCATTAAAAAGAGTAGTTTTTCTTTTTAAACATATTTTTAAAAGCACAATTATTGTCGCATCTACATTTTTTTTTTCACTATTCCTACTTAAAAAAAAAAAAAAATGTAAAAGATAAAATTGAAATTTACCAAAATAAAATGATTTATTTTAAAATTATGCAAAATAATTCGAGTTTACAAATTTTAATAAAAAGGGAAAAAATCATAATTGTTAAAAAAGGATTTCCGTAGTAAAAATATTAAACATCAAAAGGCCAGAAATTTCCATGTCAAAATTTGAAAACAAAATGTTTGCAATCGAAAGACATTAAAAAAATAAGAGTTTGACAAACTTTAGAATTTAACTTTGAAAAGAAAGCAATCGCTCCGAAAAACGTAAATTGAAGAATTACAAATGTCCAATCGGAAAAAAGACGTAAATTGCCACAAACTTAAAGAAAAAAAAAATCGTCAAAAGATGTTATTATTTAGATGACAAATTATTTTTTGAAATTTTTAAATTTTTACGTTCGAAATTTTTTGAAAATCGTTTTTTTGAAACGTTTAAAATAACATCGTTTTTTACCGTTGAAAACATAAAACTTGTAAAAATAAAAATTGTCAATCTTAATGAAATTTTCAGGACTTATTCACAAATGAATGAAATTATTTTTGAAATATTTTTTTTAGAAAATTTAAAATTTATTTTTTAAAATATGTTACCCCACATTTACTTATTTTTTTTTTGAATTTTTTTTTTTGTAGGATATTTAACACTTTCTCTTTCAAATTTGGTTGAAAACTGAATTTTTCCTATGATATTATTTTAATTTAAATTGTTAATTTTTTTCTGATGAATAATTAATTTTTACAAGAAAAAGTAAAGCTCTGTATTAGGAGGGTTCCTCGATATTATGTATTAATTAAAAAATAATTTTTTCTGAATTTCTTTTTAAGTAGTTTTTAAATCGTTTACTTTTTTTAATTTTAGTTTATGTTGTTTTTTTTACATTCCTTATTTCCATGTTGCCATTTTTTCACGTGATCTATGGTTTTGTCCTTTCCATTTCTTAACAGAAAGATGAAACTGGTTTGTAAATGGAAATGACATTGAATTTGACTAAATAATTTTATTTCATGGATTGTATTTCCATTTAGTGTTGTCATACTCAAAAGAATAATTTTTTTTGACTTAAAATTTTCAGATTAAGCTGTCCCTGTCAATAATTTTAAGATGAATCAGATTAATAATTTTTATATTATTTTTTTTTTTCAATTTCTTTGAATTCAAACTCTGATATTATTAGATATGTATAATTAATAAATATGTAAGAAGTATCTGTGTTTGACAAATTTCTTAAAATTTTTTTAAGAAAATTTTTTGAAATTTTGACAATCTGTGTGTTTGTATTGAAATACACATGATTTGAAATAAATCATCCTTTCGATTAAACTAAAATGAAATCCAAGAATGTTTTTTCGCAAAAAAATTCATTTTAAATTGATAGAAAATGAGAAAACAGCCCCATACTTAAATTTTTTTTTTTATTTCTTCTGTAGGACCCCATATTTACATCTCTTCTTGGTTGGAGAGCTATTTTAATTTAAATTGAAAAATATTTTTCGTTTTATTTTATTTTTTTCTTCCTTTTTTTTTCCCTGCTAAAAGCAGACTTGTATATTTCTTTTGCATTGAAAGATATTATTTTGGCAGTGTTTGTTATCCTCCTTGAATCTTAATGTTACAATTATAAATTTTCAAAAATCAAAAATTTTTTTTTTTTTTTTTTTTTTTTTTCTTATTTATAATCTATTAAGGGAATTGTTCACCAAATTTAGAATTGAATAGTAAAATCTGGTTTAAACAAACGAATAAATTCAACTTTGGCAGTGTTTGTTTTCCGAATAATTTTCAAAACAGTTTTTTTTTTTTTTTTTTGCTGGTTTGACTTAAAATCGAATTGAAATAAAACTGGTTTTAAAACAAACGAAAAAAACTTTTGGAATAAAAAATCGAATAAAAATTGGAAATAAAATTTTTAAAATTATACATTTTCTTTCAATTTTTTACACACATCTTCCTCTTCGTGTGCTTTTTTTTTTTTTTTTTTTTTAAGATGAGACTGGATAAAATGATATATTTTTATTTTTCTCTTGGTAAGATACAACGACCTTATAAAATTGGCCCTTAGCTTTAAAATACTTTTTTTTTTCTCCTCCTAAATTGTTGTTTCCTACAATCAAATTCATAATCATATTTTTCATTAAACATTTCTTTAAATGTGATTCGAATGTTTTTATTTTGTCTCCAATTTCAGTGTTATCCTTTCCTTTTCCGAAAGGATATCCAAATAGCTCTTGAATTTAAGGAACAAAGTTATGGGACACTCAACTATTTTATATTTTAATATCGAAATTTGAATAACTGTAAAATATTGATTTATAATTGACTAGGTAATTGTCACACTGTCAAAGTTATCTTAAAAATAAAATGGCTTTAAAAATTGAATTCTGACACGTCTTAAATTTTGGTTTCCTCTTACACTGAATTTGTATTGAATTCTTAAATTTTACCCAAGCACAAAATTTAAATACTAAAATATGCACTTTCATTTTAATGAAATTTTCAAGTCAACTTCGGTTAGAGATAAATTAATATCTTGTTCTATTTATACAGACATTTGGCAATGTTTAACATATGTCCCTGCACAAAAAATGCAATATTTATTATTTATCTTTTATTTATATATATATATATATATATATATATATATATATATATATATATATATATATATATAATTTGAAATTTGAAAAACTTGATCAAAATCTATTTTAAAAAAAAAAAATTACAAACTTATCAATTTACAAGTGAACTATAAAACAAAATTTGTATAAACCTTATCTATTTTCTTTTTTAAAACAATTGCTGAGGGAGTCAAAAGTGTATACAGTAATATGGGTTTCAAGGGAATAACTGTCCTTTGACGCAGCATTTCTTTGCAGACCCGAAGTTTAAACATTGTCACAAATTGTGTGGAAATAAAATTTATCAGGTTGTCTGCCTTTCCCCACCATTTTTGTTCACTTTGGCTTTCAAACAATAACCTTGATTGGACATTTACATTTCTTTTTTTTTTTTTTTTTTTTTTTTCTAGGATGCAAATGTGATGCATTGCATTATGGGAAAAGATGAGTATGATAAATCACAAGGGGGATTTTTGCCTCCAATTTCACCTGAACATGCAGGTGAGAGTCAGTCTGTACCACAAGGTATAGCTACCAATCATCTTTCTTGTGGTACTCAATCTGATTGCAAGTTTTCCAAGATGCTTGTCTTGAACAATGGACTGCCAAATGAGCTGCCTCTTAACCCTTGTGATAAACGGCCAGAAAGCAATGGTGGTTGCTATCAAACACAACTCCTAAAGCTGCCTAAATCTTGTCCAGATTTTTTTCAAACTCTCAATGATAAACCAGAAACTTCCTTGCAGAACGATTTGGTATCAATTGGCCCTGAAGACAGTTCAGATTCTGAAGAACTTGGCCTTACAACACACAGGCCAAATATGAATGCCGACAGCTTCCTCGACTTGGTTACAGATATGACCGCCCAGGACTTCAGACATGGTTACCGGCAGGGACGCAAGGATAGAGCCATATCTTCTTGGAAGAAGGGAGACAACTTAGTGAAAGTTCAGGAGGAGGATACTAAGAGAAATCCTCACACTGCCACCAATAACTTTACAAACAGGAAGGGAAATGGCCGACAAAGGCTTGAAAATAGCAAATACAACCCAATGCACTCTTCTCCTCCACAAACACACAACTTTGTGCACATGCAGCAGGGTGAGTACGAGATGGATGATGTGAGTGTTGCTTATCATCAAAACCACCCTCGGCACTTACGAAATTATGAGCAGTATGTTGTTCCTCCTAATTTTGCATACACTGCAGATGATATCTACAGGAATGCTTTCTCTGTGGGGTCGTACCCTAATCTCATGACCCAGAAAAAGATGTTAAGTTTTGTCAATGCTCTTGTCTCACCCACTTTCTTTACACCATCTTATTCCCAGCAACAGGAATTAGCCCATTGTCAGTACTATGCTGCTGTCAATCAGCAAGATGTTCCTCTCAGTCACCGGCAATCCGCCCAGCAGACCCCCGGAGGAGAAACTTATGTCACAAATACAATCCAGCCTCAGACTCCAATGGGGTTAACAAGTTTTTCTTCTCCCTCCTCTGCTTCCTCTTATGTTGATAGGCTGCATCCAATGGACACTCTTACTTCTGTTGGTGGGGATTATTCAGGCCAAACTCCTCAGCTTCATCTACAACAGACAAATACACCTCAGGTTGTTGGCCAGGAGAACTGGTAAGTCACTATGATCCTTTTATCACAAAACCATTTTTTTTCCATTTTCCCATGTGACATTTTAAATGTATTTACCACATATCTTTTTCTCCTTGTCTCTCTCTCTCTCTTTCCTCCTCGTCTCTCTCTTTCTTTTTCCTCCTCGTCCTCGTCTCTCTCTCTCTCTCACCACCACGAGTAAGGTGGTAAGAGAGGCAAGGGCTTATTGAGAATGAATGGAAATTGGCAAAACTATGATTGACATTACATTTAGATTTTTGAAGATTGTAATTGACTTGAGGAAACTAGTAGGTATCTCAAAGTGCCCAAATTTACATTGCAAAAATTTGTCAAAATAGTAAAATTTCTTTTAATTTCAACTGCTCATTTCATATCTCATTTGGTTTTGAAGCTATTATGATGAAATTAGTCTGTAAACTATTTAATTAGGTACCTCCACAAGATCGCTAAAAAAAAGAGTATAGCATGATGAAAAAAGACGCCAAACTTGACGAAAACAATTTTATCGTCTAAATGTTTATTATTAAGAGGAAAGATCAAAGTATTTTTGGTATTTTTTTTTCTATTTTTTAATCGTTCCTAGCATGTCCAAAATTTTCGTTAAAAAATTTTTTTTTTTTTTTTTTTTTTTTTTGAGTCAAAAAATTGACCATTTTTTTCCATTTTTTTAAAAAAAAAAAATTAAAATTTTTTCAAAATTATTTTTAAAAATCAATTATCATTTTTTTCAAAACTTATTTTAAGGAAAACAGAAATTGTGTCAAAAATTTAATTTGAAAATAAAACAAAGCAGGTCATAAACTTTCGCATCTTTTGACAGGTGATGAATGACATATTTACGAATTCCATGAGGCTAATTTGTTCTACGGAAGGAGAAAAGTGAAATAATTTACATTTAAGTGAACAAATTATTTACCTTGTTATTTTTAACAAACTTTCAGCAGTTTTTTTTTTTTTTTTTTTTTTTTTTGTACTTAGCTTTCACCTTTATGTTTATGATGCTTTATGGAAAATATTTTCTAAAGAAATTAAAATAAGACTGTTAAGAGTGACATTAAATTTCATATTTCCTAAGAATGGTATCTAATTTATAGGTACCTTTCTTATGAAATTTTATCAGAACTGTACATAAAATACTATAATTTTATGTACATTTATTACATTTTACTGTTATTTGTATTTGCATTCATTTTATTAATTTTGATATTTATGGAAAAATGTCATAACTGAGATTAATATAAAAATAAGATCATATAAATTTCATAAGATGATACTGATACTTGTAGGTACCCTTCTCAGTTGAAATTGAAAAATCAAATTAACTTCTCCACACGTGTTTTGCAAAAGTAAAGACCTTAACAGCAGAGAACAATGCTTAACTCAAATAACGCAACTTAATTATATTCTGGTTGGTCTTCCGTACTTTTATAATTACAGCCCGATTATAAACACAAAATTACATTTCTTAATTACTGGGATCTTCTGATTAGTCAAAATGATACAATTTACAAACGCAAAAAAAAAAAGATCTATCTCATAAGGACACTTAGAAAAGCCGATGCGGCTTTTAACTAATTTTTAATATTTTAACAACTTAAATGTAAAATCTATTATAATTAAAGAAATAACAAATAATTAAAAATTCATTTTTCATCGAAAAAAATTTTTTGCTTTCAGAAAATATTGTCCATATTCATAAAAACAACTAAAAGCAAATAAAAGCATTTGAAATTAAATAATATATTTGTTTTATTGAGTTTTGTATGTTACAATTCAGAGCTGATTTTCAGGTACTGCGGATCCAATTAAAAACAAAAAAACATGATTTGCATTCCTCAAAGCCCTGTGCTTTTAATTATTGTAATCACTAAACCTGATGCGATCAAATTTCTAGCGTTTTCATAAAACTAGTTATGGGGTTGGGTAATAAATATTTTAAAAAAAATATTTCTACCATGACTTTAATAAAAAAAACAATTTCGATCATCTGTGAATAGTTCCTGAAAGATTTCTATTTTTGCATGATTTCTCAAATTAATGTGTCATACCAAAAAAACGTGCTAAAAATTGTGTTATTTACTAGTTCTGCTGATACAAATAGAAACAAGGTTTTTTTTAATCAAAATTTAGAATGTTCTAAAAAGAAGGAAAAATTTTTTTAAATAATTAAAAAAACTTTAGTCTTTCCTCTTAATAATAACATAAGCATTTAGACAATAAAATTTTGTTTTCGGCAAGGTTGGCGTCTTTTTCATCAGGCTATGCTCTTTTTTTTAGCGATTTCGTGGAGGTACCTATATTTAATGTTTTCTCTTTATAAATATACAATTCTTTCTGGTGTGTGTTCATTAGTTTTTATTCCACATCTGTTTAAATTCTGTCATCATTTCAATGACTGCCACTTCTTTTTTTCACATTTTCAAAGCTGACAATTTCATAGCGGTGTTTTTCCAAACTTATGCTCGAGAGTTGTCTCCCTATATATGTCAAAATAGTCCCATTTTAAAGAAAGAAAAAAATAGATACTTGTCAATTTGGTGAGTGAACTATGAAGTTAAAATGTTTTGGGTATATAATTTAGCTAATTTCATGTAGATTATTTTTCTTTTTGCTTATGTTTCCATCACTTTTATTAAATATTCCACATTGTGATAACAGAAGATCTGCCAAGAATGCTGAAATGTAAGAACTTGGACACAAATTTTACTGTGGATGGTCAAGTAATTAAGGCGCATTCTAAATATTTTCATCTTATTGAATTCTCTCTTTTTTTTTATGTATTTATTTATTTATTGAAATTGTGGTCTGTCTTGTTATGGTGAGCAACTAATGTATTTAATGTTTTTTGTTGAATATCCCAAAAGACAAAACATGTCACACAAACTTTTTCCTCACGGTCATACATCTTTCCTCACCCAAATTGTTCTTGGTATATAAAAATTTCTATATTATCCCATATATGTTAAGATAAAGAACAAATCTTGCTTTCATCATAGCTTTTCTGATGAAGCTTTAATAAAAGTGAAACATATTAGGTTTATAAATGATCCGTATTTGTTCTTTATCCTATCATTGTTGGATTCAGATCCATATATATAATCCAGGTAAAATGATAACAAATGGAGTACAATTCCACTGTCTGTGACATTTAAGAGGGCTCAATACAGAGTAGAGATAAATATTATTTATTTTAGGATATTAAAACAAAAACCTGTTAAAAAAACACTACTTTGTAGTCTCGTCAGGTGATAGTAAACTTGTAGCTTTTTTTTTTTTTTTTAACAGGTTTTTGTTTTAAGACCCACACACTATTACAGTACCTGTATACAGGCTGGTCTCTTCACTTTGTATTTAACTGTGATAGTAACTTGTGTCTTCACTAGAAATCACTGAAAGGAGTTGTTATAAGCAGTGGAACCAGGTTACTCATATATTTGGTTTGCTTAATGTTTAAAAAAAAAAAAAAAAAGTAAAATAAGATGCAATAATAGTTTATATAATAAAACACAATGTGTATACATTGTAGAATGTTGTTTAATGCTCATTACTTTTTGAATATTAAACAAAAAAAAAAAGTGATTGAATACTTTTTGATATTTCTTAAGACTGCAATGTTAAACATTCCTGCCACAGCTTATTTTTTTATTTTATGCAGTTCAGGTAAATTGTATAAAACTTCAACCAGATTTTATCATTATCAGTTTCTTGTAAGAGTTTTTCAATTTGGGGAAAGCACTGAAGCCTTTTTACAGATGTTTTTAAAGCTTCATTTGTTAATGAAGAGGAAAGATAGCTTGTTTAGGTCAAGTCCTTTTAAAGAAGCTAACAAAGCAATGAAACATGCAAAATTCTCAATTTGGAAGACTGGAATTTCTTGAACAATAAAAACAGAAGGCAAATATATAAAACAAAATTCACTTTGGTCTATGGAGAATTCTAATTAAAGTATTACCTTCTACAATTGGTTGTTGCAAATTGACGAGGGCTTTTAAACCCAAATTGGCTTTGATCTTTGAATGGATTTTGGAATAATGATATTTAATGTTTTGAATGTTGTACAACTTTACTTCATGGCTCCCGATCTTTGATAAAAATATTTTTTGTTTGATTTGTTCTTAAATATTTTTGGTTTTTGTTCTTTTGCAGGCTCCAAAATGGTGGTGGTGAAGAATCTTGCAGCTCAAGTTTAGGAACTAGTGGTTGTTGCAATAATGGTAAACCCATCTTTCGGTCTCGGTCTTTTTCTGCTGTGGAACAGAGTAGCAGAGAGGCTGAACTTTCAGTTCATGCTGACAACTATTTCTCTACAATGTCACCTCACCATTCCAGCATTGGAGATATGGAGAACCGTTTACACAATCTTCATCTCTGTCATTCCAAGTCTGATAACCAATATCACTATCCCCCAAACCCTTGTGCCAAGGGAAATTTGCAAATCAGTCCAGAGGGCTTAGTTACTAACAAGGCCAATTTAAATGACTGTGTGTCTTGTGCTGAAAATTTACATCCAGGGAATTCTTGGCAACAAGATTCCAGAGACCAGTCATGTTGTACTCCATTTTCTTGGATTCCTGACAGACATGTTATGACCCAATCAGAGTTTTATGAAGACGATGCAGGTTTTGTCACTGATGCAACTGATGATAATGTCTTTTGTCAATCGGGAACAGAGTTTAACTTGCCCTCTTCATGGCCTGCATGGACTTTGTCAATGAAGAGCCATAAATTGGCTTGCCATCCAAATGGCAAAAGTCACTCATTTTCCCAAGCTGAGAACTCTTTCTCATCTGGAGGCAACAAACTAGAAAGTTATTCAGACACAGAAGTTTATTCGAAATCTCCACAGTCTATTTCTCTCCATAAGTTTCAACCAAGCAGTGAATATGAGGATGTTAGTCACCAAGATGTCCCAAGTACAACGCAGGCAGTCTTTGCAATGGACGAGGATATCTTCAGTTCTCCAGATACCAATTTGCATTTTCCTGTTCCAGCATTAAATTTGGCCGATTCCTCAGAGTTTGACAATCGACAGTTTGGCTGTTTCATTGACAGGGATCATCAAGAACGGTTTCAGACTACTCAGGTGCATGAAGACAGCTTTGCAAGATACCCCAGTACAAAGTACAGCTGTCCTAAGGGACCAAGGAAGGTGAGGAGGAAATCTGGTGGTGGGGGAGCAGTGGACATCAACCGGTCAGTGGTCAGTAATAATGGTCACTGTAGCAATCTGGAATTGAGGCCTGTTAACAGTGTTCCTGTGTATAAGAGGCACTGGGAAAAGTCCAGCAACATTTGGGGATCATATCACTGTAAAGATGTGAACACCTTTTCTTCGAGTCTTGTTTGTCAACAGCAGAACAAACCAAGGTGTAAAGATGTTGACGGCAAGCATCAAGGAGGCAGTCCTTCAAATCATCAGCGGAAAGAACAAAGGAAACAGAATCAAACCTGTGGAGGCCAGGTGAAGAACAAGAAAAAAAACCATCCGAAGTAAGTTCACATATTTATTTGATGGAATCTTACGACGTTGATTTATTTTTTTTAAAAAAAAAGGGGGGGTGCTCACTTCAAATAGATACCTCTCCATTTTTGAAATTTATTGTTAAAGCAATTGTATTTTGTCAGTTTCTAATATCCTATTATTAGTTAAATTTATATAGTTTCTCTACTCAACTCGCTTGTCACTGATTTACCAATCTTTTGTCAGTCTTAAAAACTAAAAGCAATAAATCTTGTAAAAGCACAAAAGCCTTACTGATAATTGCTTTCATGATATGGAAATGCTGATTGACATCTTCATATCTGTGTCTCATTAGTTACAAATAAATTGTGTACACATGCTCATGCAGCCAAAATAAAACTTAGTTTAACTGTATGTTGTGGGAATTAATATTAAAATAAATTTAGGAATTTCCATTTTAAATTAACTTCTAGTTTTATTTTAATGTCTGAAAAGAATCTTCTAATCTCATCTTATGATACGATGACCTTTTTTTTTTTTTTTTTCTTTTTGAGCGGGGGGTTTGGTAATATAGGTAGTTGTCTTCTACCTTTTTAAAGAATTGTGGAGATAGTGTTGATAGAATTATGGATTTCCCAGAAACTTCTTCAGGTATCTTTTGGTATGGCTCCTTCCTTTTTGAAGGAAACTCATTGTTTGTATCAAAACTAGAGCAAATTTAAGTAAAATGTTTTTTAACATGTGTACCTAATTTTGATTTCCATAGACACGGGAGAAATAGGCTAATCTCTTTACTTATTCTCATTTGAAATAACAAAGGTGAGTTAAAAATTGTATTAAAATAATGTTACAAGAATCTTGAAATGCGAACCTTGGAAAGTGGAACAGATTTTGTCTTTTGATTTTGTTCTGCTTTTAAGTTTTAAAATCTGTCAAAAATTTGTTTTTGCTTCCATTTTTCCCCTTTGCTTATTTTAATAGGAAATTTTCACGTACTCCAACATTGCCTCGATGTTTGAAACAGGACGGGACACCACAAGATTCTGAGAGACCTTCTTCCCAGAAGGAATGTAATGAAATTCCTTGTTGTGGCTCTGCAGATAAGGAAAATCCATTCACCACTAATACCATCCTTGGTACTTCTCATGAACCCTCTTCTGCCCTGCAACCAGGTTTTGTTTTTTGTTTTTTTTGTTTTTTTTTTTTTTTTTTATTTCTGTGTTCAGTGCTTTTTTTCTATCTCTCTTCCTCCCTCTAAAAAGAGATTAGAGTTCTGTCTAAGATCTGACTGGCAATTTAGATAGTTTCATATTTGTTAGCACTCAAATGTAGTCAATGTTAGCCCCCTACAGCTGACTTGTATTGTCAGGAGTTACAACTTTTAAACATTATTATTATTATTATATATATTTTAAGAGATACTCTGTTTAATCATAAACAAAAGTATTCGATTATGATAATGCTTGACCCTATATAGTAAAGACTAGCAGTAGAGCCCGGCGTTGCCCGGGGATATAACAGTAAGAGATAGATCAAGTATCCACCATCATAAAGACTGAAAAATAAAATTGACAAAGATTATTATGTCTTAATTAGTTTGTGTGTGTGTGTTTTTTTTTTTTTTTTTTTTTTCAGGAATTGGTCAAACTCAAACAAAAACATTGTTTTCAATCGTTATGAGTCTCTATCGATTGAATAGAATTTTATTATAAACAATTGTCTTGTAAATGGAATTTTTAAAGCATTCTGAATGTAAAAATAAAGAAAAAAGTGTGCAAGACAATAAGAAACACTACATGCCAAAAAAAAAAAAGTGAAGTTTTGTTGAAATCGGTTGAAAAATGTAGGTAGCCTTTCTGTAATCTTTTAGTTTTACAATTTATGATTTTTACTTATTGAATACAGTAAAAAAAATTGCATATTTTGCTTGTGGTGATTCATAATTAGAATTCTGATTTGAATATATTTTCCACTCGTTGTTTCTAATACAAAAAATATTAACTTTATTTGGATTTATTAATTATGATCTAACATCTTATTCATTTAGTAGCCTTTCTGTAATAATAATCTTTTACAATTTATGATTTTTACTTATTGAATACAGTAAAAAAAATTGGACACCATGTGTATTTAAAGTAGTTTCCCGTTCCGGTTATTATTTTTAGTTAGGACTTCTTGTGTATGTTTAGATTTCATTATCTTTCCCTAAAGATAAAGAATTTATTACGATGTTTGTATTCGTACAATCAGAGATCGTTAGATTATTGTTTAAGGTTGACGGACACACATGTCTTAAGTAGTTGTTTTTTTTTTTTTTGTTTTTTTTTTTTTTTTTTTTACGAATTGGTCAAACCCGAACTCAAACAAAAACATTGTTTTCAATCGTTATGAGTCTCCTGATTGAATAGAATTTTATTATAAATAATTGTCTTGTAAATGGAATTTTTAAAACATTCTGAATGTTAAAAATAAAGAAAAAAAGTGTGCAAGAGAATAAGAAACAGTACCCGCAAAAAAAAAAAGTGAAGTTTTGTTTTATCCGCTGAAAAATATAGGAAATCCGCTCCCATATTTAAAGGAAGCCACACACACACACACACAAACAACCCGATGTGAGTTGTCCCCCTTCCATTTTCACGATGTCTCTTAATCATGTTTTCAAATTGATTTTGTGCAAAAACAATTATATTTTTCCCATTTTTGGTGCTGTTAGAACCACCACAAGGTAATTTTATGTACTCCTGTGAAGTTTTGTTGAAATCAGTTGAAAAATGTAGGAAATCTGATCCAATATATAAACGTTACACACACACACACACACACACAATCTGTGTTTTATAATAAGTAAGATCACATCTGAGGAATGAACATTTAAGTTGAGGAAAAAAAAAAAATCCACATCCTCTTTTCTTGGGACCTTGCTCCATCAAGATTCTACAGTTGACAATGTCATCTTGATCAAATGAGTTTTAAAAATACATGAAAAGGTGTACACTGTCTTCTAGACATTTATTTCCTCCAAATCAATGAAGTTTAATTAAACTTGAAATGTTTGTTTCAATCGTATCAATGTATAAGGAATGCTGAAGTTTCATCCTGACCAAGAAGCCAAGATGATGTTTGACAGTTGTCAGATTTTGGAAAGTGACTCGGGCATTTTCAGTACCCACCAGACCTATGTCTCTTTTTTTTTTTTTTTTTTTTTTTTTTTTTTTCTCCTCTTCCACAAAGGTAGATTTATCCAGAATTTCTCGATGAAATACAAAGGAACTTTTTCTAGAACATCAAAATGAAATGAATACTTAACTCGTACTCTCCCCTCTGTGGATATTGATCTATGCTTATTTGTTAGATTCACATGATTCTCTTACTACCATATGTGTATTAAGGTCCCTTTTTCTTCCTATATTACTAGATGGTGTTATAATCAGCCTGGAATTGTCATTTTTCTTGTTAAAATCATATGGGTGAATCTCCTAAAATATGGAGCCCCTTCACTTGTTCACAAAAGAGAAACTATTACTATTTACCCCTTAATAAGTCTGATAGCTTTGAATAAAATCAGGTTGGCAGCTGATCTTGAAGATGACCACCACTCTGTTAATTGGAGCAAGAAATGGCTTGATAATTTTAATGCCTTCAAAAAGAAACTTTATCTCTTAAAGAACCCTTTTTGCCTGGCTGATGCTAATCTCCAGGAGAGTGATGCTTTGCGCATTCTCTGGCTAATGTTTTCCACTAACATGAAGTGGAATGATTATATTGAATCAATTGCTATGGCTGCTGTGAGGAAAGTTGGTTCACTGTCGTGCCAGTCAATTTTTCTTGACAAAATCCATAGAATCTGTGACATTATCAATCCTGACCTGGTATCTCAACTTCATTAACTTTCCCACTGCTGTAACATATCTTCCCTGTCTTATTTCTAAAATATTTTCAGGGTAATTGTTCTGATGAACAGTGCAGTAATAGATTGGTAGCTAGGTCTCATCATTTTACAGTTGAAATTGTTAGATGTAACTATAAGTTCTATGCTAATAGTTGTACTTCTTGTTTGTGAAACTCTCTTCCTGTCAATGATTTTCAAGGATTTAAATGCAATGTCAATCATCTTCTCTTTGGTTCTTTTATTGTCCTCTCTGTTTCTTTCACTATCAGTAACCCCATGCATCCTAGTAGCTTTATTGCCTTGCTTACGGTTAAATGATTTAAACCACTGTTCTAGCAATTTTTTTGTAATCTGCCTAGCCATTTGTGGTTGGAGGGTTTACTTAAAAATAAATAAACTCTGCATAGCACTTCTCTGATTGCACTAGAATTGGGAGAGCCCAAATCACACTCTATTGTGAATAAGTTTCAAGGAGTAGATAAAACAGATGTAATAAAAATGGCTAAGTGGAATGGAATTATAGTTGGCAATATGGAAAGAAAAGAAGAATTAAAAAAAAAAAAAAAATGAACAAATCCTATAGAATGAGTTAACCAGTTATTGTTTCTTGTGTCTACAAGCTATATAAAAGAAAGTAAAATTCTCTGTGCACCAACTAAAAAAAGGGAAACTTGAAGAAAGAAAATGTACATTTATTAATATATTGACCTGGGTATATCTAGACAGATTTCACAAAGTCCTAACAGCCAATCCTTTTGTTTGCATAAGGGTTGTTGCCTTGGTTCAAACTGTCTCGACATTTAAGTAATTATCAGGATGTGATCTTCTCAAAACTGAGAATATATCCTCACAAAAGGATGATGCACATCCACAATTCTGAATAAATCATAAATGTTGAGTGATGTTCTGTGTACATTGTTTTTCAACTGGGTATGCAAATAATTTTTTTTTTCCTCCTCATAAATGGATGGCACCAAATCACATGGTACTAGTATTGCATTATTTGAAATCGAATCCTGAGAATTTTTGCCAGATTCATCTGCCAAATCCTGTTATTAAAGCTGTGAACCTGTGAGGGTTAGGGCTTAACAATTACCTCCTGGTAGGTTGTTATGTCTGATAGTTTTCCAGAGTAATACCGAAAAAGATATTCCAATGAAGGTAAAACAAATTAATCAACCAGCAAACACGTACCAATTACTACAGCATGTACGGTAAAGGGACTATTTGAAATTACTAAACCACTTCATTATATTGCAATCAACTTCTTCTTTTGTAGCTGAGAATAATTTCTCCTCGCTATAAATGTTATTTTTAGTTGGGGAAATGTATTAGTTGCCTGTTTTACTTATTGTTTTAAACTGTGGAATTAATAACAACTAGACTAGTTGAGGAGTCCTAAAGAACAAAAAGTGTACCTCTGACATGAATTGAACCAGTATTCCCTTTTCCTTCAGGGAAACCACTTCTATAGGTAAAATTTACCTTTACCAATTGATCAATTGAGGTCTCATTGATAAAGTAAGGTTTGAGTTGTCTATTTAATGAATACACATTTCTCATTTGCATTTCTACAAATTTATATCTGCTTAAATATGTGTACCCAGTAAAAATCCAATTTATAGTATTGCAAAATGATGGCTGATTTTTTGTAAAAAAAAAAAAAAAATTAAAAAATTACAGCTGGGAATAAGCAAATTCTCCAATGGCTGGGAACTTAACTGCATTTGTGCGAGAGGCACACACACACACAGATCACTAACCTTTTAAATTTTTTAATAATCATTTCACCCTAAGCAAAGCAATAAAGCCACTAAGACGCAAGGGGTTACTGAGTATGAGAGAATGAGAAAAACATTCATTAAGTAGAGAAAACAAAAGTACAGGAATTGGATTTGGGCTCAAATTGAATCTTAAGATATTTGTTTTCAATTGCAATGTCTAACTTTTTCTTTTTCTCTTTCCATAGGATTGAAATCCCAGTCTGTTTCTGAATCTGAGGTAGGTTGCAAAAATATACTAAACTATTTACAGTATATTTATTTTGTTTTTAGATTGTCTGATCACTGTCTCTACATTTTTGTCACTCTCTCTCATTCCATTCTCACCTTAACGTCATTTGTATATGCATAATTCTTCTGTGTAAATGGTGCCTTGATTGAAGATGAAAGTGATAATAATGAAAGATACATGCATTAAAATATCAATTTTAAATTGTTGGAGGTTTTCAAAATCATTTGATGGGCCAAATTTTTTTCAAATTCTTTGATTATCTTCACATAGGAATTGCATTCTTTTAATTCATTTAAAATTGGGAATGACTATACCCCTCTCTCCGACCTCACCCAGTCAATTTATGACCTTATAAAAGCAAAGTTTGATTTTTTTATCTCCGCCTTCCTTACCAATGTCCTCTTGATGGCTGCAACTTGACACAATTCAACAGTTTTTCATTTGAACAGATGCTAAGTCGTCTCATTGTACGAAATTATGAAATCTCAATTTATTTCTGCCATTTCAAGCTTTTGATATATTATCTGTATTTATAAATGTTCATTTTTCAGATCAGATGGTGGCATGATGGTAATGTGTATCCATGGCATCATCTTCCAGATGAAATCTGGCTGCACATTTTCTCTTACCTGCGCAATCATGACAGGTTTCAGTGTTCCTTAGTCTCCACTCAATTCCACAGAATCATTCAAGATGAATCCTTATGTGAGTGTTTCACAAAAAAAAAAATCACTTCAACTTTTATTATTATTAACAACCATCATCATCATAATCTCGGTTTTTACAACAAATATTTGAAGCTCTGGATTTAATTCAGCAAATGAAATTTAATTTTGAGAAAAAAAAGAAAATCATATCTAGCCCTTGTTTGAATTTGCAAAAATGTCCCATTGACTGTGATTATTAAATAATTGTAGGATGTCTTTATGTTCAGAATGACACAGACGAGGAAGAATTTTGTATTAATAGAAATCCATCTAATTTCTTTAGTTTTACTTACAAGTTCAGATCCTTTCTGTGTCCACTCAGTGATGCTTGATTTTTATTTGTGTATAGGGTTGGGTCAAGGGTTACATTCAAACTGAACTAGTTTCTGATTAATTGACCTATTATTTATTCCATGATTTTTTTTTTTTTTTTTTTTTTTTTTTTTTGCATTTCATGTAACATTTTGTAGCACAGGAGTTTTGGTCTTTTCATTTCCATTGACATGAGAGGTACCAAGGAATTCAGAGACCTTATGAAGTAATCTCGTTTATATTCCCCTATATGGTCATTGTATATATGAAGAAATTTCTGAATATGGGTTAAGTATATTAGCTGATTGCTGCTCCACTTGAAATAAAATTAAACAATTTCTTTTTCTTTTTTTTTCTTTTTTTTTTTTTTTTCTTTTTTTAGGGAGGCACATAACATTGGAGAAGAAAATGCTACAAGATGATTGGCTAATGCGAATTGCTCATCTTCATCCTTCCACACTTGAACTTATTCAGTGTCATGGTGACCAAGTGACAGCTGCTGGCTTAAGTTACCTTTTTAAAGAATGTACAGATTCTCTTTTAGTAAGTGTTCCCTGCATGTTTTGTTGCTGTTAATTAATTTTCTCAAATGAGAGGGTGCTAAAAGTTCTTGGCAACTTTTGCTTTCTCTCTCTAAAGTAAGTTAGTAAATGAAGTTGTTTTACTGGCATACGGGAAGGGAGCAAAAGTCGTATATTATGTGGACGTGTAGGACAGAGGTTAAGATAGTAGTGATCAGGGAATTATCATCTTGGGAGTCTGTGCCAAAAGGCAACAGTTTTGGGGGCAGAAGCTTTCTGGGTAGAATTTCTTCCTTATCAATGGAATCTGAAGGGAATGAGTCAACTATCTAGCATGGTGTGTCCTAGTTGTGATGGTCTGAACTGGTGGAACCAAGGAATTCTGCCATTAAAATAGTGATAGGCTAGCAGTTTTTTATCTGTTGAGAGATGGTTGCAGGGTGGAAAATTATGACTCATAACACTCTGCAAATGTTTTTGAACTCTGTCTAGGCCAGAATATGAGGACCGGGCAGTTCCAGCTTTGATTTGATCTGTCTTTATGTATAATAATAGGGTCAGAGGAAAGGTCATATTCTTGTGCTCCCACAAACAGATGTATAATTTGCATATATACTTCTAGACAGACTGTTGATATAAAGCAGAAAATATATTTTTACTAAATTTCTCAAGACTTGCAACTTTTTTTTTTTGCTCTGATTTTAAGAAATATCTAGTCACTTTCTTGATGTTCTTCATCTTTGCACATACATGCAATGAAGAGCTGAATAAAAATCATGTACTTCTAAGATTTCTTTAACATTTAGCAAAATATTGTGCTGGAAACTTTTGCTCAAATTTAATCTGTGATGATTTAAAATAGGTTTTGATTAAAATATTTTATTACAAATATTAAATGACTTATCACTGACGGCTGTCACAATCTCTTTACCTTCTGACAGAAGCTGCGTTTTAGCCGCTGCAGCCGAGGTGAATTAACTGGTGATAATATTTTGCTTGCTTCTACTGTGTGCCGTAACCTTACACATGTAGATGCCAGTTGGTGTACAGTGACAGACAGTGGACTGTCAGCCATTGCCAAATCCTGTGATAGGTAAGTACAATGTTATCTTCCCACCTTTTTGCAAATTAAGTTCCATTTGCTTTTGTACCCCTTTTAAAAGGCAACTCTTCATAGATAGATAGATGTGTGTATATTTATTTATTTATTTTTTTTTTTTTTCCCCCAGATTAGAAAGTCTTTGCTTGAATGGTTGTGGGTTAATTGCTGATAATGGTTTGAAAACATTAGCAACCTTACATTACAAAAGGTAAGCAATTCTGTTTCTTTGTCTGAATTTCCAAGTTATCTATATTTACTTGGGTATAAATGTCCACATGCTTTGACTGTTGTATTGTCTGGCCTTTTTCAGGGGTCTGTCAATGCAGGTAACCTGGTGGATTAAAGTGTTGTACCTATGAATATGGTGGTGTTGTCATTGGGTTCTCTCAATGGGGTGATCAATAATTGAGCAGGAAAAAATAAAAAAAAAAATAAAGATCTCTTGGAGATGGGCAGCAGGAGAACAATTTACTCCTGTAAATTAAAGAAAGAGCTAATTCCAAAATTCCCTTAGCATTACTCTGAAGGACATCTGAAAAAGGTCAGAGGGCACAACAGCCAAAATGTGATAACAGCAAAGCTAAGGACATGAGACTGAATAACGTAAATAGTAAGCAGTTCTTTTCAGGAGTGAAGTAAATTTTTAAAAAAAAAGTAAAAGAAAAACTTACAAAATTCACATGAATTAAAAATTTCATGCTTGTAAAATACGTTTCATACTTAATGTTTTGTTAAAATTTTTTTTTTTTTTTTTTTTTTTTTTTCTAGCTTAAAAGAACTGGAAATGTTTGGTTGTTTTAACATAACATCTCGTGGCATCCGGTACCTGGCAAGTATATGTAGAAACCTGAGAACTTTGCAACTTGGACAATGTTATAAAGTAAGTCCTCCACCCCAACCTGCAAAAAAAAAAATTTGATCTTAAACTGTTTCACAAATGGAATTGTTTTAGAAATCCTGTCCCCCTCGTAAAAAAAAAACCTTTATTTGTATTTTTAGATTAAAGATACATTTATAGAGAAAATAATCGACAACTGTTCGTTTTTACAGATGCTAGCCTTGGCCAAAATTTATTTTGATAGTCTTGAGGTAAATCCATCATACATGCATCTTAACAAAGCAATTGACATCTGACAAAAATTTATGCAGTCAAATTTACAAAACTTCTTTATAGCATTTACCCATTTTAGATAAATTAAAAAAAAAAAAAATCACTTACAAAAATCAATAATTTGAACAAATCTAGATTCAAAAATTCAATTGTTTCTCTAAACTATGTAACTGTCTTGCTGAGTTGTAGCCTCTAGATATCTCTAAGGCATTTGATAGGGTTTGGCATGCCAGCCTTCTACATAAGCTTCAGGGATACAGTATTACAGGACGATTATTTAATTTAATCCAATCCAATTATTCTTATCAAACCAAGAAATGAATGTTGTTAAATGGTTTTTCTTCCAGTTCCTTTCATATGAACACTGATGTTCTCCAAGGCTCTATCCTGGGTCCTACACTGTTTCTGATCTTTGTCAATGATCTTCCTGATGTCATCAGTTCTCAAGTAGGCATCTATGCAGATGACACAACTATTTACTCCTGTCTCAATCAAATCTGGCATTGCTGACAAAGCTAACCTGCATGTTGGTCTTGAAAATTGATTGACTAGGGCAGGAAATGGCTAGTAAATTTTAATGCCACCAAAACAAAACTGCTCTCATTACCCACTATAGAGAAACCTCCCTGCCTCCTATCAGCATGGCTGATGCTCAACTTCATGAGAGCATCTCTCTGTGCCTTCTTCTCACATTTTTCACTGAGCTGAGGTGGAACAACTACATTGAATCAAGGAAAGTTGGTTCTCTGTGTTTCACCAGCAGGTTTTTCTTGTCTGAGTGCATCTTTCAATTCTACAAATCTACCATTCGTCCTTGCATTGAATATTGTTGCCATATATGGTCTGGTGCCTTTTGATGTTCTCAACAAAATCCAGAGACAGATATGCAATGTGTTAGGTCTGACCTGGTATCTTGATTCCGGTCACTTTCTCACAGACGTTATGTGGCTTCCCTCGGTCTTTTCTACAAGAATTTTGATAGCAAATGCTCTGATGAACTATTTTAACTGGTGCCCCAACTCCATGAATTTAAGCATGCTACTAGGTTGGCATCTCGATTCTACCCTTTTACTGTCAAAATGGTTAAATATAACCGCCTCTTTTACTCCAACAGCTTCTCTCACACTTCCCAACAGTGGAACTCCCTTCCTCTTACTTGCTCTCCTGATAACTATAATCTCCAATTATTTTAATGTAATGTCATAATGTCAGTTGACATCTTCTAATACCTTGACTTTGGGAAAAGGATAAAGAGAAGGACAGGGATCAAACACTCCTCTTACTTTCACTCTCTGTAACCCTTTGTGTGCTCCGGTCTTGTTTGGGGTGAAATGCTTAAAAAAAAAATAATAATAATTATTATAATATTATAATAATTGTGATAGTAGTAGTAGTTGTTGTTCTAGTTGTTGTAATAATTTAAAAAAAAAAAAAAAAAACAATAATTGATATTTTTTTTTTTTTTTTTTAAATCCAGATTTGTTGAAAGCCTGGGGACCACTTTAGGTAGAGGGTTACATTAAGGGGCAGTTTATACAGATAGAGGAAAATAACCTCTTCAAGTCTAGAGTCAACAATTAAGATTGTAGTAAATGAGGGAAACATCCTCTTGGGAGTTGTGTTCCATAGAGTAGTGGTTTAAGGTAGAACTTCTTACAGATAGAATATGGAGGGAATGTGGGTGGGTTTGCTTCAATGTAAGTGGTATAGCGGGTCATTGCCATGAAGGCTAGACCAGGCAGAAGCAAGGAATGTAGTTTGTCTGAGCACTTTCTGTGGAAGTAGCAATAAGAGGCTTGCCATGTCTTGCCTGTGTATTGAAGGGTGGAAAATAATTCTACTCCAAGGACTCGTAGATGCTTTTGAACTCCAAAATAAGGACTGGACAGCTCCCACCTAAATGTGGCAATAGTACTCCATTTTTGGCCTGATCTGGCTCTTTTAAAGGTAGAGGATAGCTTGAGGAGTTTGATACTTACAGGGAGCCAATCATTTTACCTGCATATTTAGTGATGGATCATATACAGGAATTTTACTTGAGGTCACGTGTGAGTTTAAGGCCCCAATATTCTCTTGGGGCATGGTGCCCTCCTCGAGGAGACATCTGTTCCTGATTGGCAGTAGTTTGGGGTCTGATCGGCAGTAATGGAACGTAACCAGCCAGTTTTTACCCCCACTGGGAAGTTAGCATTAGATCGGAAGAGAGGTCAGCTGCCACTCTCTGATTGTCAAGGGTTTTAAAATTTTGTCTATATATCGTCATATCATTGGCATAGATGTTTACAAATGATCTGAGTATATTCTTAGGCAGATCATCTAATATAAATCGGAGGGTTGGCCCAAGTGATGCTTGTGTTGACAACTAGGACCTCCGAGGACTGGCTGTTAGTAGTAACTACCTTCAGGGATCTACCTGGAGAGCTTGTGTAGCAAACCTTTATCCCATACCTTGTCAAAGGTCTTCAGGTAATCAAATGCTATGGTCGTCGAGGGCCTCACTAAATCTGTGTGTAATGGTAGTTAGGACATCTGCAGTGGATTGGGATGAATGAAACCTATACTGCTCATTGCACAGGAGGTTGTTCCTATCTATGTGCTTGATGACATTTTTGATGATTAAATCCTCAAAAAGCTTACTGAGGAGACTAATGGGTCTATACTGGAAGCGGGGAGGATTGCTCACCCCATATTCTTGGAGACTGGACATATGCTAGCATCCTTCCATGGGCTTCTCCTTCAAGCAGAGGTTAAGTAAATTTGCTAGGATCGGGGATAATTCTGGGTTTATATTCTTAAAGACAGCCACTGGAATTTTGTTTGGGTCAGTTTTTTTTTTTTTTTTAATCTAGAGACTTCGCTTGCTGAAATGAGTATATTACTGAGATTGTAGTTCAGCGAGACATTAGATGACAAAGATCAAAAGGTCATGTTTGAGCTCTTTTTATTTTATTTTATTTTTTTTTTTTTTATTTTATTGTAGATCACAGACTCTTGCATTGCTGAAGTTTCCAGCAATTTGTGTTGTGTGGAGAATTTAGATCTCCGTGGCTGCAAACAGGTAAATATGATGTTCTTGCACTGTTAATTTAAAAGAATTGTGTATTTCAGTCACTATCTAAATTATCTGCTCTAAAAAATTTGGCCTGAAACTGTTTCAGAAATTAAAATCATTTTAGAAAATTAATTTTCTTCATCCCCCCCCCACTACTCTTGTATTTTTAGATTAAAGATACATGTATAGAGAAAATAGTCGACAACTGTTCGCGTTTACAGACACTAGCCTTGGCCAATTGTCCAAACATCAGCAATAACGCGATGCAGAAAATTGCTTCCACACTTCCTGGAATAAGGTTGGTCTATCATTTTGAAATATTTCTCTTTATCTACATTATTTTGCTTTGCTTTTCTGAGTAATGAAAATCTGCGCCTGTGGATTTGTATATGATTTGATCAGCAAATCTTTCAACGCTTTATTAGAGAGCGTTACATTTGGCAACAAAAGATTAAGCACTTTGTGCATGTGCGTCTTTGGTAAATGGCATTTAATTTCTAGGTCTCGTAGAGATCGTATAATTTGAGCAACTGAAATGTTTTCAAGATTTTTTTTTTTTTTTTTTTTTTTTTTAAAGATTGCCTTTTATATCGACAGGAGTATAGATGTTTGTGGCTGCAAGCTCATAACAGATGAAAGCGTCAACAGATTGGCCATGAACTGTCGCCAACTTGTTTACCTTGATATCAGTTCCACAGGCTGTACATACAAAAGGTGAGAGACTTTTCTCTTTGGCATTTGTCAGTCACTTTGTTTTTGTTTACTTCACTTCTCTTAATGTCCTGATGAGAACTTAACAAAAATGACTTGATAATCTGTGGAAATAACTAATATAAAAATTCCCTATACAAATTTTGAAAATGGCAAACAGTATGCGACGCATTCTCGGAAAAAAATTTTATGAATGCCAAGCAAATGTCAGGTAGGAAAACAAAACTACCAAACTGTCAAAGAGAGGACATTGGGCTAACTAGCATTCATATTGAACATACATGACAAACTTGTGTCCACCTAAGAACTGAAAATGTAACTCGATGTACCCATTGCATAGATTAACGGTTAGTCACATTCTGACTGAATGTAAATGCTCTCAGATCAAACATAGTAAATACTACAATGCCACAAATATAAAAACATAGTTTCAAGATGTTGTCCCTGATCACATAATAGGGTTTCTAAAAGGAATTTAAATATTCCTATGTATAGGTATATAAGGATTTGTTTTTAATCTGTCAATTTGAACCATTTAAGCTATTTGAAATGAATTGTAGCTACCAAACTGAGCGCTCTCCAACTATTGCAAAAAGTGTATATATATATATATATATATATATATATATATATATATGTTGGTGTTGAATGCCCATCAGGGTCAATAAAACAAAATCCAACCAATCAAAATATGAGATCCTTAAGCTCTGTGGGTAACAGTGACAACAAATTTCTAATAGACGACACACTAAAAATATTTCACTTTCCTTGTTCAGATTTTTGTGAAAAACAAATATCAACTTGCAATGAACGCAACACTTGTCAGTTCCTGTCATTCCATCGTAGCAGGTAAAGTAGGAATGAACTGTTGTTCGGCTGCTTTCTTTTTCAAATTTGCAAGTGGAGTCATTTCAGTGTAATAATCGCATAAGTAAAATATCTTAAATGAAATGTCGGTGTCAACCATAAGCAAAGTTTTTTTGGGGGGGGGGGTGAAAGTAATCCAAAATTTTGATTTTTAATTTTTTTGACAAACCATCAACTCCTCATTGTATTGTTTTTGATATAATCACTTACATGTGTCATGTTCCAAAAGTATGTAATTTGCTCATCCCAAGAATCTGTCTGCTGTTGAGTTTATGGAAAGATAGAATGAGCACACACCCTGCCTGCTAAGAATTTTATTAATGGAAGAACAACGAACCTTAAAGAATTGGAAATATTTGCCTGATTTCAATTCTAATTGGTTTACCTATTGTATATGATAAAGTTTAACCCTTGTGCTTTTTTTTATGACACTGTCAAATGCATCTCTGAAAATTGTTAAAAAGGAACAAAACGAATTGTGATTAAATCAATGACTCTTCAAGTGACATGTCTCCTGCGGATTGTGTTAGCGGTTCTATTAAACACAAAAGAACTTTGATGAAATAAATCAAAAACAAAATTGTATAAAATGCTGGCTTCTCTAAAAATCTTGAAATCACTGTCAACTGATTGGATATTTTCTCATCAGATTTCTGACTTTTTAACTAGAAATGATGAATCTTGTGCCAAATTACTGAAAAGACAAGGCATGATTGTTTCAATGACTTGATTTACTGAGCATAGCTTAGACATGGTACAAGGCCGAAAGTAAAGAACAAACTCCCTATCTCTGTAATCTAGTGAGAACCATTGCACCACATCAAAGTGTGCTCCAGTAATCCTGCCTATAACTAGAAAGTAAAGGCAACCATGAGTTGCTCTCCCCTTTTTAACATAATTTGGAGATTATTCATTGGCAAGTTGCTGATAATTATTTCAGTAAGGTTTGGTTGACCAAATTAAATTTCACTGGGTATGAATCACCCCCCCCCCCAACTTCTTTGTAAAGTTATTGAGTAATTATTGTAACTTCCAGAAGTGAAATGCTTCCCAATCACAATTTTCGTGTTTCTCTTCAGTGTCTGTCGGTTGGCTGAACAAGGCTCTACAGACTTGGAAACCTTAAAACTCAATTTTATTGCTGGTATCACAGAAAGCAGTTTAACTAGGCTCACCAATCACTGCAAAAGGTAATTCCCTTTTTTTTTTATTTTTATATATTTATATATATATATATATGGCATTATCTACTACGCAATCATTAAACATAATGGCAAGACAATTTTATCACCATAAAATACTACAGCACTCTCAAAGTTTTACTGCGATATTAAAGCAGATGACTATACACTTCCTTAATTCCATTTATCACAAGAACAGTAGCCTAAAGTATTTAATTCTCAATAGGTCACTTATCTAAATATCACATGCCCATTACATATAAACCACCTTCTAACCATCTATTAATTTGTAATAAGCTACATGGTGTTCCTTTTTTTTTTTTTTTTAAATTGCACCCCCCCCCATATATTAACTTTAAGTAAGCTTTGAATCTGCATTTAATTTAACGTTCCTCCCAGCCAGACTTTTTAAAAAATTAATTCCTGATAATTTAGGAAAACCATGAAATTTGGTGATAATTGTAACTTCAAATGTCAATTTTGTCTTTTCTCTTTTCAGGCTGACAACTTTGCATTTATATGGTTGTAAGCGGGTGAAGAATTTGCAGAAACTGCAGGCACTTCATCCCCAATTGATTATAGAGTCCGACAAAGATTGACTGAATTGGCAAATTTGGTGATAAAGCAACTTAATTTCTTTCTCCCTCCATTTCAATCCGGTCCAAAAAGACCCACTTTTCTATTCTCAGCCTGGTGCTTTGCCAGGTTTTTGATAAACACTGTGGCCAAGGATTGGGTACAAAATTTTCTTCTTCCTTTGGAAACTACTTACCATTGACCCCCCCCCTCCCCCATGGAAGAATCTTACTTCTCTCCTTTCTAGTGGTGGGACTGAGGGAGCTAGCCCCCTGCCTCATGACTAAACCTAGGTCATTTTAGAGACCCTAGCAGCCTAAAACAAATAGCTACAGAAGTGTCAAATTTTACCCCCCCAAAAAAAACTGAGGCACTTAATTGCTTAATTTTGATTAGTTATCCAGGATTTTTTAAATTTTAGGTTAAGAAATCTTTACTGAGGGAGGGGGAGCTAAACTTTTAATAAAAACACACAAAAAAAAACAAAACAAGTTTAAAAAAAAAAAAAAAAAAATACAAATGAAAAAAAAAAAAAAAAATTTAAGAAATTTATATTTTACAATTTTAGTTAGTATTTTTATTTTTTACAATGGCATTTTGTGTTGCACAATCTGCCAAAGTCTCAAATTCTGTCCTTTTGTTCTTAATCAGCTACAGATCAGTGAAATAAGTTTCATATTCCTATTTAAAAGAAAATGGGAGGCAGGCTGAGAAAAAAAAAAAAAAAAAAAAAATTCTTAATTATTTGGATGCTTTATCTCTTAATCTAATTAAGCAGCAAAGAATGTTGGCTTAAATTTACTCTTTCCAAAAGAAAAATTCTGAAAAGGAAAAAAAAAAAAAATTACAAAAAAAAACAAAACAAAAAAACATTTTAGCCTTCTTTTGCCGACATGCAGTTGAAGTGTATTTCCCCTGGCCCTTATTTTTCAATTTAAGACTTCCTGGATACAGTAGCAGGTTATGAACTTAAGGTGTATGTAGGTCAGCTGCCTCCACACTATTTTTCCTTTTATCTCTCTAAGTCCAGTCAAGAAAAAGTCACACTTTAACGTTGCTTCTGATCCAACCTGCCATTGTCATTATTTTAGGCCTTACAATCTCGCTTGAATTAATTACACACTAATCTTAATCTATAAGACAAATTTGCCCATCTTTCCAAAGTTAATCCTAAAAATATACTCAATTGTAGGACAAAGATTTTTAAAAATTGGTTCTAGCAAAATCTTAACACCCCCCTCTCAAACTTTTTTTTTTTTTTTTTGTATCTTTTATTTACAAATAAAGGCTTTAATTTTTTTTTAAAGTCTAGTTTTAGGGATTAGCAGCCCTTCTTTCTTCACTTCTAGCTCAAAGCTGATAAAGGTTCTCCTTGGTACCCCCTCCCTCCCTATCAAGGTGCTACTAAAGTCCCCATCCCAAGACTAAATTTTGCTTTAAATTTTTCTTTTTTTTCTTAGGGCAATTTTAAATTTCTTATATTTATTTCTTGCTAAAAAAAAGGGGGGTGGTTAAAAATAAACATCTTGTAACAAGATTTTGATCTTTGTTGACTTGAATTTCTTTGTTTTGTTTGGTTTTGTTTTGTTTGTTTTTTTTTTTTTTAAGCAATGAGTAGACAAGCATTCTTTTATTATTCCTGCCCTTCCAAGTCACTTCTTGTAGAAGATTCAGCACCCCCCCCCAATCTCCCACAGAACCAAAACTCATTGTGAAAAAAAAAAAAAAATGCTTGTCAGTTTTTCAACTGAACTGTTTGCTTGCTTTTCCTTAAAGTCTGTCTAGAAAATGAACATTATGATGAGAAACCGAGTGCTATAATCTCCCACCCAAATCATCTGATTCCCCGTGAGCTGAGTTTCCTTGCAACCTAGCTCAACAATGTAATTAATTGTTAGACAGAAGAGGTTGCAACTTAAGCAACAGTTCCATTGCTTGCTTCTGACAATTTGAATGATTAGCTTAAAAAAAAAAAAAAAATTTCACTGGTTATGGTGTTTGGGGCTGTAAAGAAGAATTTAAAAAAAAAAAAAATTTTTTTTTTTTTTTAATAACTGTGGCCATCTGTGAAGGTGGCCACAGTTATGGAGTCAGAAACAAAACAATTACGGCAGAAAATGGTGATAGCATTAGAATCTTTATAGACGTTGTATTATCAACAAATTTGTATCTGATTTCAAAATCTTCCAAGGGCACCCACACACACAGGTATTTTAACAAAAAAAAAAAAAAAAAAAAATTACAATGGTGGGTGAGGAATAAAAGGAAAGCTTCAAATTATGAATTGCAAGATTCAGAAAATTTTCAAAAGTTAGGAAATTCAAGTTGATGTGGGGGGGGTAGGCACACAGGCCAACCAAGATTCAGAATTTCCCAAGTGAAACAGACTTCCACTAAAGAACATCAATTGTGCCACCCCCCTCCAATTTCTGCAGTTAGTTAAAAAAATAAATTCCTAAAACCTGATTTTTGTGCTACTTTATTTTTTTTTGTCCTCTAAAGTCAACAGCATTTCCAAATCTTTGCCATCAATTTTGGTTTTTCAACATCACAATCAAGATCATAAGACAGAAAAGTGACTAAACGTTTGTTACTTCAAAAGAAAGAAATTAACTCGATTCTCTAACAGTTCCCCCACTCACTTCCACCTCCTGATGGCCAACATAGAATATTTTTTTTTTGTTGTTCTTCGTATATTTATTAAAAAAAAAAATTATTTTATTGTAGATAATATAGAAAATTAAGGATTTTTGTTCCCCCCCCAATGGTTTCCAATTACTGGTAAATTTTTTTTTTTTTTTAAATTGCCTTCAAAAGGAAGACTCGGCAATTATTTTTTTTATGGTGGGGCAGCAGAGACAGGTAAATAAGGTTTCCTTTAGAGAAATATTTCTCCACATCCATTTAAAAGATGAGAAATTCCACACCTTGGCAGAAAGGGGAGGAGCAGTTATATTACCTTTTTCCAGTTTTTGTTTTGGGGGGGGGGGGGTGCTGAACCCCCACCCACCTCTTGAACAAAACGAGGTGACAAGACGTTTATTTTCAGTTCCAATTTGGCAGATAAGAAGCTATTAGAAAATAACTTTCAAATTGTTTAATGTTTTTAGATTTTAGTCGCTTAAAGGGAAATAGTGAAAACTCAAGCAGCAAAAAAAAAAAAAAAGTTTGGCTGGTGCTTGTATGTTTACTTGTAAAAAAAAAAAAATGTCTATTTAGTGAACTGGGACATTGGCAGGGTTTAGAAGAGGCAAATCTGAGATTCTTGATCAATGACAGCATTTTTTTTTTTTTTTTTCCCTGGACAGTTGGGGAGGGGGAGGGGGAGGAGGTGCCTTGCACAGAAAAAGTTTGGCTTAGTTTAGGGTGGGTCTTAGAATTAAAGGGAAAAAAAAAAAAAATTTAAAAGCACAATAGTCCATTTTATTGGGCCATAGGTTTACTATAACCATGAGTTACAGGCGGGGGAGTCGAGACCTCCACCCAGTTGGGAAGTGGAAGATATCACATGAAAAGCAGCAGGAATGTCAAGGAATCACACTGGATTCTGGTTAGAGCTGCTGCTGCTGCTGCAAAATGGGAGGGGAATAAATGAAGTTATCTCGAGTCAAGTGAAGAGAATTGGGACGGACACAAGTACACACAAAGGAAACGGGGTGGGGGTCCAAATGAAGAATCACTTGTCTATGCAGCCAGACAAGTTCATTCAAAGAAGGTCTGTCACAGTGCACAGCAATTTGGGGAGAGACGGGAAACGTATATAAACAGAAACACACTCGCACAAACAAAAATCTGCAAGCAGAAAAGACCGGTTCCATTTGTTGAATACGCTTAATATCCATTTCCCTTTTCAAGTTGGAATAGAAACACAGCCAAGCAGGAAAGAATGTTCAGTCCGTGTGTGTGTGTGTGTGTGTGTGTGCATGTGTGCGCGCGCATGTGTTCTCAAACCAAATGGGGGAAAAAATTTCCAACAGCTATAGGTTTTTTTTTTTGTCTTTGTTTTCCATTTAAATCGTCATCAACTGGACAACTTTGGATGTTTGCTTATCTCTCCTTACTTCATCCTCTTTACACTGTGTGCCCTTTTATTGTTGAGGAGAGAATGTCAGCTGCCCAAAGATATTCGACTGATTTTGTGCTTCTATTTGTAGCATTGCCTTTGCTACAAACATTTGCACACACTCCTAAATGGTCCCATCTTGTTTTTACAGGAAAGTTCTACATTTACATTTAATTAAGTGTTTTATTTTTTTTTTTTTTTTTTTTTTTTTAAAGGGTTCAATAAGGTGAAGGGGGAGTGAAATGTTGCAGCGACAAAAAAAAAAAAATTTGGAAGGGATGGGGTTGCTCAGAAACCCTATTAAAGAAAAAAGGGCAACTACAAAGTAGAGAGGAAAGAAAGTAAAAGGGATTCTGACACTGTCGTTCCTGGTGGAAATTTGGCCCTCTTTTTGAAGGGAGGCAATGCAGAATCAAACTCAAAACCCATTTCATAGATTGGGGGGGGGTGACAGAGGCAGAGATTTGAGAAAATGAAGCTGCCTGCATCCAGAATATTTGTGCAGACACCAAACACATGGGCTCTGCAGATAATGGCTGGATGATTGGATCCATCCACAAGACAAAGGAGGGAGAGACAGGTGCATGAATAAAGCCAGGACTTGTGCACCTTATAAAATGTGAATGGATGCCATATTATATATATTTTTTTTTTCTCTCTCTCTCTCACACACACACACACACACAAACCAACCAAGTTGCTCAATGTAAAAGATTTACTTTGTAGATTTATTTATATTTTTCCTTTTCTCTTAAGCTTTGAATTTTCCCCAATATTTCCCCCCAACTTTTTTTTTTTTTTTTTTATTAAAAACTTTGGTCGGTGATATTTTTTAATCCCACCCCCATTTTCTTTCATTGCATGTTTGTTTTTTTTCGTCTTCTTTCAGTTTCAGGTCCAAAAAATTTAAATTTACATCCTTTTTTGTTTTTTCTTCATTTAAACACATAAGTAGGAGTC